GCTAAAATTGGTGCAATGTGTCCTGCCCATTTATTTTATACGGAAGGACCAGATGGGTAAGTGTATATTATTAATTTAAGTTGTACTTGAGCTGGGAACATTACCTGAAAAGTTCAGCCTTCCAGCTTTCTTGGTTCCTGAAGGGTGTGTATTATTAACTACTTTTGTCATTTTGATCATTTTTGCTGTATAAGTGCTAGGATTCGCCTTGTTTTGGACTTTATTTTAAAGATTTTAAAAAAAGCGCCTTGGTAAAATCGTCGTCCTTATTTTCACCAATTTTTTTTTTTAACAGAAAATTGCTCTTTGCTGCAAAGTGAGCTTATAATCGTTGTTTAACATGGTTTCGGGCTTTGTGATTTGGGTCCACAGGTGCCATGAATGAATTGTCGTGCTCGGTAAGGTAGCTGTTGAAACAACCTTCATCCTGTTTCGCAGAAGGAAGCCAAGGGCGGGGGAGGAGGGGAGGAATCTTGAGAGAAAGTGATTATTAAGATGACCAAACTAAACGATTAGTCGGTGTGAAGATCCATGTTAATAATGTTGACTAAGTTGGTCTTACATTTCTGAAATAGCTATGCCACGTACGCTGATCCTGAACTAAATGTTGAAGACAATTCGTGTCGTTTAATTTCTTTACACTGTAATAATAATAATAACAATAATAATAATCATAACAATAACAATAATAATATTGCTAATGATAATAATAATAATGACAACAATGATAATAACAACGGTGGTGATGATGGTAATAATAACAGTAATAATAGTAAACGATAATAATTATAACGATAACAATAATAACGATAATAATAATGCAATGTGAATAATGATAATAACAACGGTGGCGATGATGATAATAATAACAGTAATAATAATAAACGATAATAATTATAACGATAACAATAATAATAATAATGCAGTGTGATTTCCTAAGAAAACATTAGCGAGAAAATAAAATAAAAAAGAAATGTATTGCGTAAAAAGTAGAAGTAAATAATATAACTGACAAGGATTATTGTGATCTACTGGATTGTAAAACATTCTGTTTTATTACGGCAGCTGGATCTTGTCAACGATTGCAGTAATGTAAATTAGAAGGAACAGAGGAGTTTAAAACACTGAAGTAAAACTGGGGTATAAAAAAAATTAGACAATAGAATAAAGTTTTTTAAGGATTAGGGGAAAAAAATTGTGATATTTTGTTTTGTCGATAATTGAAGTTATCTTTTTCACACCGACTGATAGTGCCAAGTAGCAGAATATTACACACTAATGAAAATAAAGTGGACGGGAAGATATACCAAAATTAAAACAGTCTGAGGGCAACTGGATGTATTCGGGCCTTCACTCTTCAGTCACTGAAGAGGCCGATGTGTCAGGATGGGAGAAAATTGAGGATTATTTTTCATGGAAACAAGTTTATCATGTTCATCATCCTTAATTAGGGCTATTACACAATCTTGAAAATTTTTGTTGCTGCTTGATGTATGCGACTTAAAGGACCGGAACATTCCTATTCAGGTTTTTTAATTCGTTTTATCTTATCCACTCTCCTTTTCCCTTTTAAACCTTACTTTTTACATAAATACACATCATCCAAAATTAAAATTACAATTGATTATTTCACAGTTTCATCGCATATTTGGCTACTTGCATTGATGCCCAATGCGTATTGGTTACTGAGATAACCTGCATAATCCATTAGTCAGGAAACCTGAGAGATTTGATTGCTTTGCAGGAGTGTGGAAGTATGTGGGCAGCTGTCACATTTTGGTCATGCACTGGATCCACGATTTGTATTCCCAGCTACTAGTTCCGAGAAAGTATCGACTCGTGCCCGAGTTACTCGTCCCACCAGGTAACAGCCTCTTTTATATTGGTAGAACTTACGTGTTATGCTAGTGATTATGTTGGTTGAAACGCAAATAAAGCATAATGAGTCTAACATTGAGGCTTAACGAATCGGCATTGATATATTTGTTTGTTGCGGTAAAATAATTTTTGTTTTTTTTCGTAATAATTTTTCCTTTTTTTGAAAAAAAAAAGCAGACTGTTCACTTTCATTGCATGTCCAGTTTTTTTTTTTTTAATTTTTGAAATTTCAGGATGTTACCGCACAGAAGTATTGCATTAGATCTTCACGGTTAGAATTACACTTCTTGATTTTCACAGTGATTTTTACGCTCTTGGAAATAGGTTCGATAATTTTTTAATTTTGTGAATTTGATCAATTGCAGATGACAGTAAAAGTGCAGAAAGTGATAGCGGCAGCGTTTTAAACATCGACAATGAGAATAATGCGAATGAACTAGGCGAGGTACGCTTATTCCATATCGCTTGTTTGTTCTCATGATTAGTTTCATGATTTTCTGCATATTTCTCTGTGGTCTTCGCTATTACCCAACTTTTAATGTCGGTATGTTTGGGATGAAGCCTGTTGCCCAGCACACCCATTTTGTGCCTGTTTTTACCGGTGTTAAATTCCACCTGTTTTGTCCCACAGGAATTGCTAACGTATGTCACCTTGGTATAGCTCATCTTACCGAGTATCACCGGTATAAAGTGCTGATACTTGCCACATCTGATGAGGAGAATTTATAGTTTTTTCATGTGAAATCCTGTCGGGTAG